GGTGCGCTGACCGGCGGCGTCTTCGCCTCAGCGCTGCGGCCGTCGCCGCTCCAGCGGTTTCCCGGGCGGGTGTTGGTGGCCGGGCTCTGTCCTCGGCTCTGCCGTCCCTCGGGATGTGGCCCGAACTGCGGGATTTCCACGTCGCGTGTAGCAGTTTTCACTTGCCGTACGCGATGTGCAGCGCTGCAAGCCAGCCCTTGAGGTGCGATGGGGGTTCTCTTGGAAAGAAACGTCCCTTTTTCTTCGCTAGTTCTGCAGAGCGCTGAAAAATGTCCGGTTTTCTTGAGAGCTTGAGGTGCTCGGAGTGTGTTGACTGGGGAGAGAAACGAAACACCATCGCTTCCGTTGCTGCGGGAGTGCTGGTACGTACGCCTTCTCTTGCGTTCTTCTCTTCTTCATGCGCTGCTTTGGGGCTTTTTAGGTGTAGTCAACCGTGCTGGTACGTACGCCTTCTCTTGCGCTGCTTTGGGGCTTTTTAGATGTAGTCAACCATCTGAGCTAAAAATTACTAGTCGTTTGAAAGTAAGAGTGGGGATACGTTGTCTTTGTACGTAGCTGCAGTCGGTGACAAAGTCTGTCCTGGATGCACACATCTGCATCCACGTGTTGCTTACGTTTCGCAGCTTCTACCCATGTAACAGCTGTCGGGGTAGGTAAACCTCTGGCCTTGCCTTTAACCTTGTTCCTAAATTGAGAGCAAAACTGTCCGCTGGCTCTGGGCTGAAGACTAAGAATGATTTTGTAAATCGATGTTACTTCTTCTAGCGCCGTCTCATGCATTGTGAAAAGGTTTGTGTCTGTATTTTAAGTTGTTGTGCCCTTTCTTCTTTATTAGTTTTTTACAGGTTGGTGGATAATCATAGATGCAGCTGTAAAATACCCCAAAGTGGAGGATTTCAACCATTCATACCATGCTTGTGGGGTTATAGCCACGATCGCATTCCTAATGTGAGTGTAATCTCTCGGTCGGCGCTCCTAGAGCTTACTTTGTGCAATTAATAAGAGAACATGTAGTCTATAAATGGAGAGGTAGCTAAGAATAACAAATCAAGTCGCTATCTGCATAAGTCTTAATGTCTTTTACGTTAGCTTCTCCTGTTGTTTTGTAAACACTTCTTGCTTTACCTACATTTACCCAGTTTTGTCCTGTTTTGCTGGCACAGGATCAACGCGGTGTCCAACGGACAAGTGCGGGGCGACAGTTACAGTGAGGGCTGTCTGGGACAAACAGGTACGGTGGCGTAGGCTGTGGTACAGCGAGAGATCTCTGAAGCCATAAAGTCTTGGAAGAGTTGTAAGACCTGTCCGAGTGCGCGGGTTGTGATCTGTGCATAGCTCGGGCGTGTCGCAGAAGGTGCTCTGAAAGGAGCACGTGGAAGGTCGCCGAGTGTCTGTTACTCGGACACAAAACATCCCTACGTCTTTTCCAAGGTGCTCGGATTTGGCTGTTCATTGGGTTTATGATGGCTTTTGGATCTCTGATCGCTTCCATGTGGATCCTTTTTGGAGGCTACGTTGTTAAAGGTAAGATACAGCATGGAATGTGACCTGGCCCAGTTTTGAAATTTTAAAGTATTTTAGATTATTGTTGAACTATAGAACTTAATTTTAGATAGTTTTGAGGCAGGTCCAGTTTCAATATTTTGGTTACCTCTGCAGCAGCATTCCATACTGTCTGCTATTATCGGGGTGGGTTTTATCTACTCAGAAGTCACGAAGCGTCCCAACTAGCCTCAGTAGGAACACAGGGCCTGGTCACCTGGGAATTGTACTGATACAATTACACTGCTCCAGTTACATGGGAATAATTCCCTGGGTGAACGCTGATTCCCAGAATAAAAAATAACAATTTTGTGCAAACTGCTTTCAGAGCCTATAATATGCTAAATTAGCAAAAGGGAAAAAATAATTCAAATTGCTTATTTTAAGGTTATACCTTAACATGTACCACGGTAACTTTTTTGGGAAGACATGTCTTGATGGGAAAACCTCAGCGTATTAATCTTTGTTTTTCAAAAGGAAGTAAAGGTACTACTTGTACCTGGGGCTGAGGTGACTTTCAGACTAGTCTGGGCACATTGGTGGTTTGAATTTAGACTCTCGTCAGCTTTGGCCTTGCTCAGTTCACGGCCGACTTTGAGGAACGTAGGCGCGTTGGTTGCTCCTGATGCACGCTCCCGTTCTGTACGTTGCCATCGGGTGCGAGTAGCTATGTACATGTCCTTACCCGAGCACGCATTCCAAACGGGATGTGCAATCCTGCGGGATAATTATAGCCTTTGAGCAGTTTTGTTTGTTGTCACGTCATCCCTGTGTCTGGTCGGGAACCGTATACAGTTGTGGGCCCTCTGTCTTCGAGCCACTTTGCCGTGTGCAGATCCAAATGTCTGTATTGAGATGAAACTGGTTATCTTTGTTAACACAGCGCAGTTAGTGCCTCTGAAATGTCAGAGCTGGGCTATTCCTGAAAATCACTCCCCCAAAATTTATGGAGATTTTCTTCTTTTGTTAGAAAAACCAGTAGTATACCCAGGAATAGCTGTGTTTTTCCAGAACGCATTCATCTTTTTTGGGTAAGACTATCTTCCTTTGTTCATTTATCTGATTTATTATTAATGATAAAAACTGAAACTTGCTATAACCCGTTTACTTTTCTTACACCCTGTTTGGTAACCAGACACTGAATAAACTGCTGGTACAGGCACTTCATTGCTGCTCTCTGCATCATTTTTGTTGCGGGACCAGGAACCGGGTGTACAAATACTACAACTTGCTCCCTGAAATGGTGCATTTAGAACATGGGGTGTTTGATTTGCTCCGTTCCCTACTCATGTCCCTTTATTCTGTTTACTGCAGGGGACTGGTCTTCAAATTTGGTCGCACGGAAGATTTGTGGCAGTGAAGACGCCGGTGGAAGCAGCGCTGGCCATGCTGGGTTTTTAACTGCACGCTCACGGAATTTTGTAAACTCGTTTTGTACATGGTGAAATCGTGTCTACAGACAAACCGAGGAAAACGTCAGTTGTGGCACTAAAAATTCTGATTCTCCTTTTTTTTACTCTTCTTGTCAATTTAAATGTTGTCATGTTTTTGACAAGTGTAAAATTGCTAGAAGTAACAATGGAAGTCACTCTTCTGATACCATGTTTCCTACAAGTCAATAGGATAGTGGAAAATGGATGTATTTAACCAGCTGTTTCTATGATGTTATTTACAATCCAAGACTAAAAATGCTTTAAACCAACTTTTAAACATGTATTTATTAATATTTCCTATCTCCGAAAAATATAACCATTTCTTCTATTTCAAAACTTACTGGTGTGTGGCTTTTCTTGCACCATATACAATTATGCTGTTCTGGGATCTTTTTTCTCCCTCTCCAAATATTTAATTAATCATAGAATCATGGAATGGTTTGGGTTGGAAGGGACCATCTGGTTCCAACACCCCTGCCATGGGCAGGGACACCTTCCACTAGACCAGGTTGCTCCAAGCCTCATCCAGCCTGGCCTTGGACACTTCCAGGGATGGGGCATCCACAGCTTCTCTGGGCAACCTGTCCCAGTGCCTCCCCACCCTCTGCGGGAAGAATTCCTTCCTGATATCTAATCTAAACCTCCCCACTTTCAATTTAAACCCGTTACCCCTTGTCCTGTCACTACAGGCCCTTGTAAAAAGGCCCCCCTGCAGCTTCCTTGTGGTCCCATGTAATCCCATGGTGATAATGAGTAACAACTTGCTGTGGCTGCCATTGTAGAGGCACAAGCACAGATGTGGCTCCGGGTGGAAGCAGCTCACCTACAGTCTCACTGTCACCTGTTTTCTAACTGCTGTGAAACAAAGGAAGGGTGCTCTTCAGATCCGAGTGCTCCTCAGACCAGGCACCATGTTTCTTCCTGGACATCAGGAAGGAATTCTTCCTGCAGAGGGTGGAGAGGCACTGGGACAGGTTGCCCAGAGAAGCTGTGGATGCCCCATCCCTGGGAGTGTCCAAGGCCAGGCTGGATGAGGCTTGGAGCAACCTGGGCTAGTGGAAGGTGTACCTGCCCATGGCAGGGGGTGGCGCTGGGTGGGCTTTAAGGTTCCTTCCAACCCACTCTGTGATCTATGACTGTCCCTACTAGGGCGCATTTTGACACCCCAGGGAATGGTTAACAGTGGGATGATGGAAATGTGGGAGTGTGCTCCCGGCCAGTGTCACCATCAGCTGGCAGAAGCTGATAAAACTCCCAGGTCACCTTTTTTGTGCCCCGGAAAGAAGAAAAGCTGGCCCTTCCTCTGCAAGTAATTCTTCATGACTTGAAACCTTTCTCACGCTTTTTACCTGCGGTGATCTTTGCTTAATTCCCTAACGAACGAGCAGAGGCCAGCGCGCAGCGAGCACCAAAGAACTACGCCTTTTTCCTCAATGTTGTGTTTTTTCCTCATTCATTTTTAAGATTGTGTGCTGAATAAATAAAACCAATTAACTTCTGACCTTTTTATTAGGTAAGCATTTTTGAAGGGTTTTTTCTAAGACAGCTGTTTTGAAACAAAGAATAAACACCAAGGATCACAATCCATTTACAAACAAGGGTTCGTTTGCACTGAATCCTCTGCCCGATGGGGCCCCAGCTCATGCACCAAAGCCTCCTGCGTCTCTCAGGGCAAACCACCGCAACAGAAGACCCTTCAGAACGGGGGTCTCAGCCAAGGAGCACCACGGCCTCCTCCCTCAGCCTCCCCTGGGGCAGCTGACCCCACGGTGGGACGGGCGCTTGCTGCGCACAGGGGCCGTGCTGAGGTTTGCTGCCAAATACGTACGGCTGATACGGGTGACTGCAGGGGCACCGTCCACGAGCAGAACTACTTAACTTCTTGCCATCTGAGCTTCCAAACAGCCTGAGCCAAGCGATTATCGACTGTTCTTTAAGCAGTCAGATAAAGATTTCAGGCTGGCAAGACGCTGGGTTCTCGCCCTGATCCAGCTCACTCATCAAATCCCTGCTTAACAAGGCCTGCAGCAGCACTAATTTAGCTTAAAAACAAGTACTTCAATGCTTCGCTAGATAAGGACGAGTATATACTCGTTGGAAAACTACACTTTAAAAACACATTTTGGCTTTTAAACTTGGGAGCTAAAAATAGTTTAAAGCTTCCAAGAATTGTGATTGATAAGCCATAACGGCAGTGAACGCAGCCAATTCTTTTTCTACAAAACTGACAAATATTTAAGGTAAAACCAGCAAAGCAGAACAGCTGAATGCATTGGAAGTTTGCGTCTGTGACTCCACCCTCCCTATCTTTCCAGATGAACTAGAATTACTAATTTTCTGTGTGTCCATTGGGCTGGCTTTTTTGAGCCTGAGGATTCATACAAGTGTGCGTCCAACCCATCACAGCTAATCATTTCCTCTCGTGACAAACAGGAAAATCTTAGCTGGGTCAAATCTCTCGTCCGGGCTCCTCCGTTCAAAATCCAACAGCCAAATGGGGAAACTGCGAGGACAAATATGAACGTCAGAACATTTTGTGCCGCAAATCATCGTCCAAAAAAGGGCAGTGGAAAACCTTATTAGAAGCTTATCTTCATCCATTTCTAATTCAGATTAATTCAGGATAATTCAGATACAGCATCACATTCAGCACTTAAAGGTGCCCACGGCCTGTGTTTGCGCATCAGACTGCATAGCCACTCCACCCGTGGCCAGGTTTGGTCTGTTTCCATAGAAAGCACCTTTCATTCCACTCACTGCCTTGTAAAACCCCTCTCTTAGACACTGCTCAAGTCTCCGCGGAACTGTACGAAGCCGGAGGCCGGGGCTGTCAGTCCCAGAGGGGGACAGAGCACCCGAGGTTACATCAAAGACAACTATTTCAGATTTCGCCCCGTGCCCACCAGCACCTCCGACAATCCTCGCTGAAGACTGCGTGCCTCTACAACGCCTAGGCTCTGAAATTTCACGCAGGGCATCCCAAATGTACTGTGAAATGGAATTCTGGTGGGGTTTTTTTTAGGTTCAAATACCTGGCGTTCTTCATCAAGGTGCTATACGTACTCCCACGCTCAATTTTACATTGCAACTTACCTCCCAAAAAAACTGGTCTTCAAAGTACTTGGCTACAGGGGTGTTCTTAAACAGTTTCAAGTTTAAGATTAAACCTATTTGTGAAAACAGATATAGCCAATATAAATATATACAGCAGGGAACGGGGAAGACTGTGGGTAACTGGAGGTTTCTTATTAACACGCATCCAAATGTGATGTATCAAAACACAGATTCAGGACTAAATGCTTCAGCAGAGCCCCTTGTCTCAAACTGACCTTAAGTACAAAGAGAGAAGCTTGCCAGGACCAAGGCTCGTGTTATTAAAAATTAATTACTCTAGGTAAAACCCCATTAAACAGCCTGCAAGATTCTAAAAATACACCAAAAATCATTAACTTCTGGATTAAAACATGCCTGTGTATTTAATGCAATCGGGTTTATCAGCGCTCTTAGCTTGGGATTTCAGCTGGAAACATCTTGATTTTGAAACAAGTAGTTAAACACAATGATTATTTTAGCTGAATGGTTTTTAAAAATCTGATTAGCTCAACTTCTTCACTACAATTAAGGTAATGCAAAGGTTTCCATTCAATCAAAGCACAAAAAAAATCATTTTAGAGTACATTTCACAGCAACTTTCATGTGCTGTTTCTCTCTTATTCAAGCCGGAAATAAGAGCTATAGAAAACCAGCAGCTGCCATAAACCAGACAGAATGTCACACGGGAAACACATGAGCCCTCACGATCCCAAACCCCTAGCGATCAAAGGCCGAGCGCTCGGCCGATGCAAGCAAGCTACCGACGTCAGAGAATCTTTGGAGGTTTATACCAACTGGCCTAAAAAAGCGACAAGCTCTAGACAGCAATTTTCTGTCAGTAAGACAACACCCAAATGTAAAAATATTTTCATCCTCACGTCTCTCCTGCCTGAAATTTGAAGGCAGCTGCTAAGCACCTCTGCAGCAGTGAAAGAACGGTGCTACCAGGTCGTTTTGAATACATCCCCACAGTCTCAAAGACTGGCTTTGAGGAGTTCTGGGCATTCATGGCTCCTTCTACAAATAACTTACCCACAGAATCACGCATCAGAGCCCCAGTTAAACTGGCCCCCGTGCACAGGGCTGCACTGCCACGATAGCAGGTGCGATAGGCTGGCACACCCCTCGCCCGAGGAAATGAGGAAGATGTTCCTGAAACATGTTTTTCAATACTGACCTGTGATAAAACCTGTTACCACGGCAATGCTGATGGTCACGCAGAAGGCACCAATTTGAGTCATGACCAAATAAAGCAAATCATAACTGAAAAACAAAACAAGCGTTTCACCTTTTACAGCTGATTTGAGCATTAAGATTGTGAATGAATCTGCATCTACCCAGCATTTTAGACCAAAACCTCTCATAATATTCTGTTATTCTTGAACCTCTCTGCAGCTGCAGTTGGGTGGTTTAAGGGATCCTATCAGAACCCTAATAGAGGTATCAAAGGATATATTTTGCCCTTAGAAACCATCATTGTGGCACTAAAACTTCATTAAATGTGTTTTTCCGGTAAGACCATGACAGGAAGTGTAAGGCCGTAATGCTGCACTGGGATTCATTCCTGTGTAAGCTGAGAAGGTCAGAGAACTTCTGTGTGACATAACATGAGCTTGAGCTGCAAAAATGAAATGCCAGTGCCAGATCAAAAACAATCTATGGAGAATATTCCTAACTGAGCCCTTCAGCTTTTGCAGGGTATCTCCCCGAGTATATTTTCTAGTTTGGTGTCCAGACTGGCTTTAGGCCAAGCTGGCATTCTTGCCCCTGACTTAGGTTTAAAGCTTCCTTTGAAAAGAAATGCTGATTTCCACCCCCCAACTGTATTAGCATACAAAGCTTCCTCAAAACACACCACAAATGCCAAAATCAGTCTTGGAAGGATGCACGTGCCCAGCCTTCCTCTCTTGTGTCTGCAGTATTTTAACATCAAATAAAAAGGGGAGACAGAAAACAGGGCCACAAGCTAACATTCAGTTTTGATCTACAGTCTGTTCAACTCTGGAAGTCTTTTTCTTACTGACTATTTGAACTTCAGAGATTACTTCAGATTATCTGCTATAAAACAATTTATCTGGGCTGACCTTCAGGCTTCCTGTATGTATGAGAACCCTCTTCAAGGCATACTACATTAACGATCAGCTAAGCTTATTACTTAATAGCGAGAATGGATGTACCTTGGAAAAACGGTCGTGTTCTTTATTACAAAGAGAACAACGTGGGCAAGAGCTCCAAGCACAGCAGGCAAACCAAAAGTGAAATGAACTCCAGAGGTATCATGAAGCTTGAGAGCAGGATTCAAGCATCTCTGGGAAGATGAAAAGGTTTAATTGATACACAGAAGCACAAGTTGATAATAGCATATTGTCTGTCGCAGACCTAGAAAATGAACTTTGGTCTTGCAAGTTGCAAGCCTGCACTTTGCTCAAATGGCTTCAGGTTTCCTCCCTTTAATCTCTTTGAAAGAAAGGTTTGCCTTGAGGTATCCTACACTGGAAAAGAAGTTTAAACAGCTTATACAAAAACGATTTTAGGTTTTGAGTACTACCTGTAAACAGCAAGATCCTAATATGCTTATGACACTGGCAAGCAGACCCAAAATCATTGCAATCCAAGGATACTCGATACTGTCTGCTGTATAACCAACAGCAATCCCACCAGCTAGTGCTGCACTGTGGATATGAGACTGTAAAACAAGAAAAACATGGAGTGAGAATTCAGTCATCCCTTACAGCAGCCCAATACCATAGATTGCCATTCTCATCCAAGTGCAATCTCTGTAGAGCGCATTTGAGCCTTTGTACACTGTGAATTACAAATTGAAAAGATAATTTCTAAGTTACAGCTTCAGTGTTCTGCTTGGGAGGCTAATAATGACTGTCAGGCTGAAAACCTGGACTTATTTTCACCTAATAACTATTATACTTTCAGTGTATTACTGAGAGTAACAGAAAAATATGTTCTCCCCACAGCGATTTTTCTCTCATGTCTTACCATTCTGAATTTTCCATCCTTTGTGGTCAGAGCAGACAACAGGAAGGCAGTTACAGCACTCACAGCAAGGGCAAAGTAGGTGTTGCAGAACGCTCTGTTTTTCTTGTTCTGAGCTAGTTCAGAATTGAAGCTGGGCCAGAACACCCAGAGAAAGAGAGTGCCTTGGAGAGAAAGACAAGCGACTGTCATTACCGGCTCTAAAACACATCACCTCCGTCTCCGGAGTCGCCACATCCCACATTTTGCATTCACTATAATTCCCACATTGTAAACAGAGGCCAACACAATGCAGACAGCCCTGACAGGGACCTGCTACACCAACACCTTCCAAAAATGTACTGCTGCCGTGTCACACTGCACCTGGCTGGTCCTGCACAGAGCTGAAGGTAAGATGCTCTTCTCAAGAACACCTTTAACGACAGCTTTTTCCTACCTATCATCCCCTTGAACGCAGGTGCAGACACAAGTGGGAACAATTCCACTGCTGACTGCCAAGGAATCAGCATCCTGCCTGTTCTGCACAGGCAGCAGGGCCTTGCTCCTCAGCCAAAATTTCTGCCCCTTTTCATGGAACCATGGAATAACTGTTAAAAACCAGCTGTGAAAGAGAATGAAAGCAAGCCAGGGAGGAAGAGAAAACAGCTCACAGGGTGCAAGTCTATAAAGAAACTCGAAGTGGACTTTGGAATGTTTTTTACCTTGGCTGCCAGTACAACTGGTACTGGTTGTCTTGTCTCCTGACAGAGTTTGAAGAGAAAAAGAGGATGAACTGGATCATAAGAACAGAAACCTCTCTACTTCTACTAGGATTACTCCGGAAGAGGGCTAAAGACCAACGGCTTGAGCTGAGGTGATCATGCTCCACCAGCTCCGCTATGCACAGTTTCATTTCTTCTTGTTTGTGAGTTCGCTACTGAACAGCTACTCCCTACTACACGGGTCCAAAAGAACAATTCCCTTCCCTCCTGTAAGATCACTGTAGTGTCACACTTTCATGACCACACAGGCTTTGCTAACACACGGAATGAAAACAGGTTCTCCTGCTTCTGTGGCCTGGGCCCTAACTGTCAGCGTTTAGGAATCTCTCGGCTCTATGAAACACGTTCTCTATGTGGCAGGACACGTCTTTTCCTGTGTGCAGATGGATACACACGCACAGCCCAAACTCCAACCAGCAGAGGGAAGTAGGCGGCCTCACACCAAGTCCAGTCGGGCCACACATGGCAATCGGCTCTGCCCCTGGAGTCGCAGAGCTGGAAGCGCACAGATGACAGCACAGAAGCCACAGTTTATTTCACCTCCACCAGTCATTACTTTATACTCTCCAGTCCACTTCCATAGCTAATGTTCTGTTTTCCATGCCACAGGTGTATCAGATCCTTGTGCAACTCACCTGACAGTAAAATTTGAAGTGTTCAAGTCCATTAAGAAGTGACGCAGGCGTTGTCACTATAAAGCACAATGGTTAAATCCAGGTTCTAGCAACCCTGGTAGCTACTGCTTTTGTACAAGCTTATCTTGGCTCCTTGAAATCCAATTTCCGTGACTAATTTTCACCCCCTCAGTGCACCAAGGCAATGGTAACAATCCCTCTCGGGCAGACAAGGCCATTTTGGCAATTCAAAACCTACGGCAGCATTGAGGACTGGTGGAATGATCTGTACTATGGCAATCCTATTCCCATTGATTAGGTAGGTAGTCAGTCATAAAGAAAAATATAAAACTAAATTAAAAAATCTACCAATGCTGGGGAAGCATTCTTTTGAATCTCTGCTCAGCTATGGAAACAAAAGTCACAGTATGAGTTCAAATACAGGTGAAGACCTCAGCACCCTTCACACAGTCCTCGGAAGCAGGATGCAAAAAGGAACTATGAGCCATTTGCCTGCTCAGTTGACCCTTTCTAGCTAGGTTACCTCAGGAATTTTTGAAGATGTGGCAATGTAACGATGCCAAATAGCAAGCAGTTTTTTTGAAGATGTGGCAATGTAACGATACCAAATAGCAAGCGGTTGTAGCAAGCTGCACTAAAATTATAATAAAGGCTTGACAGTGTCTTAATGAGTTAGATTAAAATACTGGTCTCCTCAAATTCTCTGGCAAAGCAAGAACTCCCAGGACTCAAAAGAGCAGCATTTAAATTTCTCTTTCCGTAAACTGGGCAAAGAGTTGCTGAGCATTAGACTGTGTGAGCCTTCGCAGAAAGATCTTGGTTCAGCTGGTGGCAGTTCCATAACAGAAGTATGATCATAAAAACCCAAAATGCTTCTTTAAGAAAAAGAACGGCACTCCTATACATTCAGCCTATCAACACTCAGATCCTTTCTCATGTGCCTGTCTATCACATTCCCCACCGTTCATCAGGCTTTTATCTTTCCATTTACATTACTAGGCAGGGGCCGCCCTTTTATATCTCTGTACAGCACCTTGCAAAACAAGACGGAGCCTTGGCCCCAGCTGGGAACTGTAAGCTGCAACACTGAAATACAAGTAATGGCCTCAACTTTGGTGCACAGGTCCCTTACCAAGACACCTATGCAAGCCCAAAGGGGACACCTTAGCTGGGAGAGGGAATGGTTAACCTGGCATAACCTTTATGCTAAGACTGACAAAAGCAAACGAAGCCACAGCCGCTGCAGGAGTGGCTTATATGCCTTGTAGGAAATACGCTGAGACTCACCAACTCATTGTCAAAACCCACCAACCACAGCAGCAGCAGCAGTTTTCTATGCTTGGCTGCATTCAGACCTGCACTTTGGATGCAAAAGCTTCAGTGTGCTATGGCCAGCCCCCAGGAACATTCCTTATGTTCTCACTGCAATCTCTTCTTCCAGCTGAGACATTAAAGCAAATGCCTTACCCAACATGGAGAATAAATCCGATTTTGTGGTACTCGCATTCTTCTCACACCTTGGTGACGGCTCAGAGAAGCCTAAGGAGGCTGCCAGACCAAAGTAGGCTCCAAACAGGTGAACATGCATCATGCCGATACTGTCTGTAACCTGTATCAACAGAATAATCAAATCCGTGGTTTATTTCATCCCACAGAAAGCCTTTGGCACAGTTCCTGATACAGATGCTCATGTAACTTCTCCATAAGCAATTTATTTTCATAGTCCCTCCGTTTATGCATGAGTGAGTTATGCGAGAATAACTTATCTGAACTCAATACAGCTCATAAACAGACAATTCTGTGATTCTGTGTAATTCAAACGCAGAGAGTTTGGGGTATGTTTACCTTGTAAATGCAGGTTTGATTCTGCTGTCCAGCCTGGGCTGGTATGTCACTCACTGGAAATCTTCCAGACTGAACTGACACAGGGAGGGGGTAGATTTTAAAGGCAATCAGTGCCCTAACATAGGTCAAGGCTTTCATTCGTGTGTTGGGGACGGCCAGGGCACGGGCAAGGTCAAACGCATCACATCCCAACCCATCAGATGAGCTCACCCCTTAAGGCCAAGAGACAGCCAACTGTAGAGAGTATGCAGGGTTTGGAACTCAGTGTGTTTAAATATAGTCCCCAAAGTCAGACAACCTCACCGAGATGAGACAAACCCCACTGATGTTCTGTCAGCAGAGCACTAATAAACCACAAAAAGGCAACATTCCAAAGTCCCAGTGAAACTTCCCCCTATGTACCTGGAAAGCATACTACTGTACCTTCAGGATTATCTTGTTGATCAATCTGCTTATACAGAAAACTATTATCTCCACAACTGTCATCAGAATTAATTGCACAGGATTCGTTTTTCCAAGAACAGCTCCAGTGGAGATGACTACAGCAATCATGCTCACAGTAGCCTCTGTTATTCTGCAATAAAGGAAAGAAAAAACATAACGCTGTACTGGGGCCTCACCAGGGCCAAGAAAGAAAGACTGACAGAGAGTCAGATGTACTTAAAAACCTTCTAAAATGTCTGCAAATAGGACTGTGCTCCTTTGTAAACAGGTCCATATAACAAGGCATTATCCTTCACAAAGAGCAATCAGCAGTTCTAGATGATTCCAGTTCTATCACAAACTAATTACCTTTTCAGACATCCTCGGCTTCTCATTTCAAGGATGTAAAATAAGAAATATTCTAGCAGCACGGAGCATTGGACACCAATTACAAGGATCAGGAGGTTGAATCCAGCACTGCTAAACCCGTATCTTTTCAGAAACATCAGGAAAAAACCAAATCCAAAAATCACCATGTGGTTGACATCTTGAAAAGCTGCATGACAGAAAAGACCAAGACAGCAGTGAATTTCCTAGTGCAGACTGGATTTCTGGTTTAAAAAATTAATTAAAATAATTACAATTAACTAAGACACCTTCCGATAAAAATTCAGGTGCCATTATTGTTTAGTACCTGTAAAGAATTCCAGAGCTTGCTTTCTAATCCATAAGTAATCAGAAAAACAATACCCTTGACCCTAAATTTAATTTTACAAAGTGATCAGAATGGATGCCATGGATGGTGGTCAAAATGAAGTACATATAGCAATAAAATCTGGACATACATTTTTCCTGAAGTGAATTTGAAAAGCTTAACCTTTTCAGGAAGAGTTGCTGTGAATTAGTACTGATTAATTCCTTAAGGGCACTAGGGAAGGAACAAGTTACAAAGAGAAACCTGTATGATGTCCTCTCACCTGGGTAGAAGGAACAGGAGCTGAAATAGCAGTGGAAGGAGTTTAAAACAGAAACCAGCACCATTGCATAAAAGAAAGAGGCTATCCAAGGTATAAGCTCTTGGATCTGTAGGCTTGGAAGCATTCCCTGGGATATGTTGACAGTTGTACTCTCATAAGGTTGTGCTGGCCTCTACGGACAGCAAAATTCTAAATGTCTAGTCTCATTTTTCCAGCTATAGGGAGGGCAGCACAAGAAGGTCATGACGATTACTCAGCTCGTATTTGCACAACACTGTAAATACATTACACACCATGGTCATAGCATAACCTGCTAATACATTTTTGATCAACGCACAAAATACACCTCCAGAATACATTTAAACCCTCAATTCCATTGTGTTCACTTATTTACATCAAGCATTCAAATGGAAAAAACTTGCTATCCTTAACTTTTACTTTGTAGCACGCCGTTGCATGCCAAGACCTCACTTAGCACGGAGCGCTGCCGGCCCTTAGAAGTTTGTTGGGTTCGCAGGAGTCAAGATTACCACACACAGTCAGCAGAAGACAAACCAGCAACGCAATTTACTGTCACTTATGTCTCAGTTCACTGTCTTTGCTTTGGTATAAATAAATACACACCACGCACGGCAAGGTAGGGTACTAAAAGGGCAGGAAAAACATTCTACTTCTCACTGACAAATACGCAAACCGGCTGCATCCCATCTCCATTGCACTGCAAAATAAAACCAGGCATTAACCCTTCCTTTCCCAGCAAGGCTGCCCATCTTACCCGGGTAGAAGATTTCTGATTCTTGTGAATCGTAACATGAGAAGAAAATGTGGAAGAGGACGATGAAAACAGCTTCCAGGAAAATGATTAGCCATGGCACACTGTTTCGGAAGTTCTGGAAATTAGAAGACATTGTGCACCGGACTACATCAAGCACAAACACTTTAATATGTTTTTTCTATAAAAATGTTCCAGCAACCTCAAACCAATAGAAAATGAGGTGTGGGGGTGCAGGAATAAAAACTCAGAATGATAAAAAGCCCAGGAGGCGTCAGCAAGGAGCAGTTCCTTATCTGTGACATGTCAGGAGCCCAAGCTTACCACAACCAACATGGACTGAACTCCAAAAGTGCTCATCAGCACAGACCTATCAAACTGTCAATACTGTAATGCTCCAGAATACCATGCATACAGCATTTCAGTTGCTGGTGAGCCTTACAGACCAGCGAAACCCCAAGCAGAGAAGGACATGGACTCCTACGAGTAGAATGTTGGATGTTCACGCAAACCCGTCCATCCTAGACTCAAGTCCCTTCACATAAAGCTCAGGGAAGGTCCCACTGAGATTCTCAGTGTGGTTCTCAGGTTGGTTAGGCTATACCTCTACACCCATGTGCCACGACAAACCACCTCCTGCATGAATCCAACCCAATGCCAGTGAATCAAGAAACTCTGGACACGCAGAGGTGATGTAGCATTTCCTACACCACGTGTAAGTTTGGTCTCTTGTTTGTGGTACAGCTATGGAAACAGCTAGAGGGAACACTCTGGAAGACATTGGTAATCCCCAGGCCAGGAAGTTGCAGACAGAGCACTGTTCAGAGCGTTGCAAGTTTTTGATTGAGAACAAAACCACAGACCTACACCCTCCTGATTCTTTAATTCAGACCCAGCCTTCCTCCAGAAGTGTATCGACTTCTATTATCACATCTGGCTACAAGGTTCCCGTTGTCTTATGAGTTCCGAGCCTTTTGGAAAGGCACAGGCTTTTCTTATTTGTTGGTGGTGTTTTTTTAAAACCAGGAGCTTTTGGGGCACATGAGCAGAGCTACACGGTGGAAGCTAACTATGTTCAGCATATCCCTGTGCACAGACATCATCATTTGTTAGATGAGAGTATTTAGCTGTTGAGGACAATTTATGCATCCGGAATATGAACATTTGTATCTTCTCAGTATTTACTGTGCTTTTGGTAAACTGACCATTTCTTTGTTGAGGTAGTCTGGGAGATTGAAGTCCTGTAATTATGCCTCAGACTTTCTACTTTGAGGGCATTTCCGACCGAGTGCTGTGCTCAGGTTTGAGATGGTAACAGTGCATACAAATAAACAGAAAGCCACCTACTGGTGACAGAAATACGCATCAGACAAACGCATACGCAGAAAAATTCCAGTTCAGTTATAGTTTAGGACATTCCTCCTACAATCCCAGGCTGTATGGCACAATAATAGTTGTCAAGTCAACTGCGAAAGGTTTGCATTTGTGGTGCTAACTTGCCCCTTCCGCACATGCAGTATCAAATTGCTTTACCAGCTTTTACTTAGGTCTAATAAAACCGCAGGTGTCCTTACCCCTATTTCAGAAATTCCTAAACAACATTCAACAGACTTTCCCAGATATGCAGAGCGATGCCCTGGCTTCAGAAAAATCTCAGTGCAGAAAGACGCAGCTCCTTTTTTATGGGAATTCTGTGATCACATGGGTAACTCAGACAGAACCAGGATGCCCCGTGAACTTTCTCTAGACAAGAAAAGAAGGCAACAGCTGAAACAGCAACTTAGAAATTGATTCAGCTAACTGATGCAGTCTTTTAGTGTTTACAGATCCGATGGATCTAATTAGCATTCATCTGTTTCCTGCAAGATAAGTTCCTTTAGGGCTCATACCTGGGATAAGAACAACCCAGACAACAAGCCAGTGTCAAATGAACACAATTTGGTCTTTTGACACTTGTTACTAAACCTCCCATCAGCATTAATACTCTGGGAAAATACACCTAAGGCTAGGAATTTACCCATGCCTTTCCTTCAGGATGACATGCCCCAGTGTAGATGCTGATGCTAGGATTTCCAGGTTAAAATCCATCCCCAACAGAGAATCCTAAACTCAGTGATCTCACACAGGGTGGAGTACAAAGTAACATTCAAATTTTGAGCTCCAGCATCAGCAAAACATCCGCACCGCCTCAGCCAAGGGGACGGGCAGCCTCACGTGCATTCCTCTGTGCCAGTTTTTATCGGGACGCACACTTCAGACTCAGCCCAGCACCGCGTGACCCTTGCTCACGGAGGCCCGTTATCCCGAGGAGAGGCCTAGCAGGCCCGTGGAACCCAGAGCAGCCCCGGGAGAGTCCGGAGAAGCCAAGGCAGCAAGGAGAGGCGCGCCACGCTCCGGGTAACACCACCGCTCAGCCAAAGGGCGGGCGCGGGCCCAAGCGGGCCTGGCCGCGTTGGCGGCCTTCCTCAAGCTCAGGGGCCGCCATTGGTTTCCTCACGGTTTCCACAGTCCAAATGGGGCCAGAAACCCTGGGGGGG